GCTGTAAAATTGTATAGTAGTGGAGAATTGTTTATGCCCTATCAAGACAGGTCCGAGGTACAAGTAAACACATATCAGTGTATTAACTGCCAATATAGTAGTTCATGTTGTAAGAACCTTCCCATGCAAATGGTTCTGTTTACTAATTCATAAGAAGTTGTGCAAACATGGGGTCAGTTTGGTTTTAAAGTAAAATGCTGTTGGCTAAATTCTCAAAAGCCTCCCTCTTTTTGATGTTTTCTAATGAGAAATATTTACTGCTTTGCTTAGCACAGGTAGAGGTGATACCAGGATTTTTTGTATTGTGGCCTTGCTGCATCCAGAAAGAGCTTCTCTGTGCTAGATAAAATCATCTTCCTCGTGCTTTCTCCTGCAATCAGTAGGATTATTGCAGGAAGGAGACATATCCTTACTGCTCTCAGAAGAGCATCTTTCCTAGTTTTGTAAAAGTTGTGTTAACTGCCCATTATTTTCTTCTCTCAAAAGTTAATAGTCTTAAAAATGCTCTCTAAATTCAGTTCAAAGGGAAGTTTGACTTGTCAGAGTTAAGAAATATATCGATAATATTTTGGAAAATAAGAGAAATAACTGGGTTTATTAGGTAAAGCTGATGGGGTAGGAAGCATAAGCTAGATGTTTGCCAGCATGTAGCATCAAATAAATTAGACTGGATTGTTTTAAGTGATCTTGAGTTATGTTCATAGTTGGATTGAAGAGAAGCCACTTCTAGTGGGGAAGATAAAAAGTTTTTTGAAGCTGCTCCTGACCGGTCTTAATGAACAGGTATTAATAGCTCTGACTTGCTTTAAAGCAAAAATCAAACAATGATTCTTAAAGAAGAAAGCTGCTTTTCTCTTTACTTATAGTAGTAATTTTAAGCTTTCCTGAGAATCCATGAATTAACAACAGAGCGGCAGAATTTTATTTATTTAGTGTAGTTGTCACTTTTGAACACTAGATGGCAGCTCTAGTACTAATCCCATAGAAAGGAAGCATTTTGTATTTTCATACAAGTAAATTATTGCAGCTGGTTTTTTAAATTATTCTGAAGGTATTTAACTTTGGGAAGACAACAAGAGAAGCAAAAACAATGCTGTTTTTCTCTATTAATAAGGTGAATCTGACAAAAAGATAGATGTGATTTCATTTAATTAAATAATTAAATTGCAATCTCCTTGAACAATTTTCTGAACTACTTATATCAGGTGAGGGCAGAGACTAACAAAAATGTAGGAGTAAACTGTAGACATCTCTACCAAGGCGGTAGAGATGCTAAAATGTTAGTTGTACGAAACTGTTTTGAAGGGGAGGCACCACTGAGAGCGAGTGTTTTCTGGCATTTAAGTACACACACTTGTAAGATAGGGTCACCTTGAAAGCATCTGGAATCTAAAAAGTAAAAAATTGTTAAGATGGCTTCTTCATACACTGGTGCTGCTGTGTTGGAGGGAGCAGGGGCCAGGCTCTTTGTTCAAGCAGCTCTTTGAGTAATCTTAGTACTGTTGAAGTGCTGTAACTGCCAATGAGGTAACCAGTGCTTTTTTTCCCACTCTATAAAATAAAACCAAAGTTAAAAAAAAAATGATTAAAATACTTCTTACCTTTTCTAACCAATGCTTACTTTAAACATGTTGAGTTTAGGACAAAGCCTCTGTTTGAATAAATAACCATTTTTTTTTTTTATACTTGTGAATGATGGAAACATTAAACTGCACCTTTGAGAGAAGCAGCAGCTCTTTAACCCCCTAACATACAAAAAAACCCTAAATCAGGGCTGAGCAGGGGGGAGACTCTCATCACGGAGCTGAAGCAGGGGCTGGCAGGGCCTGTTGGGTGATTGCAGCACCCTGCCGGGAGTGCAGTCCCGCGCCTGGGACCGCTCCTGCACTGACACAAACGGCTCCTGAAAGGGAGAGGAGGCCCGGCCCTCGTGTTGCCTGGCACAAAGGCTGAGGGGAGGGATGGATGCTGCAACTGCTTAAGCTATGTACATACACATGTATGTTTTATATATATATATATACACACACATGTAAGCCATGACCTAAATAACCCATATAGGGGCAGTGAATGACCTTCTTTTTTTTTTCTCTCTCTCTCCCACATCTATGTAAATCACAGCCTACATCTATGCGTCTCTGTCTATATATGTATATACAAGTGTGGGTGAGAGCTGTCTGTATCTCCACACAAAACCAATAGGACATAGCAGGAATTCAGTGGTAGAGTGGTGCTGAAGAAAGGTATGCATGAGGCAGAGCCATGGTTTATATATGCACACACATCTATACACATATATGAATAAATATGCATATTTACATACATGAACGCAGACATATAAATGTGTACCTATGCATGCCTTATATATATATATATATACACACACACATATATTTTTTTGTGGGCATGTATATGTGCATGTATAAGGAGGGGTGTGTGTGTATAGCATAAACACATGCATTATATATGTATGCACATATGTATATATCTACAGCTATATATTCACAGCCATATACATTTGCATGCCTATGTTTACATACATGTGTGTGATTATGTATATGTACACACAGATGAGTAGGGAGTATTTAGCTATAGATATACACACTGTGTGTGCACTATATATATATATAAAAAAAGTGTATAAGCATGTATATGCAAATGTGTTATGTAAATATATACATGTGTGAGGATATAGCTCATGTACACATAAATACATACATTACAGCGTGTGTATATAAAATATACACAAATTTGATGTTATATATAGTATATATACTTACAATGTATATGTATATACAAGTATATATGTCTCCATATAAAATATATATGTGTATATGGAATATATTAAAAAAAAACACATATATCACCTTAATCTACTTTTTTTTTATACATGTGTATATGAGCATGCACACACCGTGTGTGATGTATAAATATATACACAAAAATATATATATTTGTGTGTCTATAAGGCTTTCTCTTGCTCTCTACATATACACACACGTTTTTTTTTTATATATATATATATACACACACTTATGTGCATATATATTGTATATAAAATATCAACCCCCCCATGTGTGTCCTTATATGCATACATCATATGCACAACTATATACTTATATTTTTGCATTTATATATATATATATATATATATATATAAAAATCTCTATTTACCTATATAGTTTTTTTTTTTTTGGATATACAGATGTACTGTACACACAAATACACCTGTGCAGGTAGCTATAAGATGGGCATAATCTATGCACACTCACATATTGCCTTACACACATATACATTATAGGGTGTGTGTGTGTGTGTGTGTGTGTGTGTGTGTGTGTGTGTGTGTGTGTGTGTGTGTGTGTGTGTGTGCACGCGCGCGTGCATGTATGTCCGTGTGTGTGCACAACCAGCAAGGCTTTCCCAAGGAAGAGCCGCGTTGCAGCACTGTGTAGCTGTGGCAGTTAGGACTATGGTTCAGCAGGCAGCATCATGTGCTNGTGTGTGTGTGTGTGTGTGTGTGTGTGTGTGTGTGTGTGTGTGTGTGTGTGTGTGTGTGTGTGTGTGTGCACGCGCGTGCATGCATGCCCATACACCCACACAACCAGCAAGGCTTTCCCAAGGAAGAGCCGCGTTGCAGCACTGTGTAGCTGTGGCAGTTAGGACTATGGTTCAGCAGGCAGCATCATGTGCTTGGAGACAACGACTTTGAAGGGCTTGTGCAACCATAATGAGCCTACGAGTTCGTGTGTGTGTGTGTTTATATGTATATACACAGACATATATTAGATACATATATGTGTATATATAAAAATGTATAGGTGCACACACACACACACACACACACACACACACACACACACACACACACGGGGGGGGGGGGGTGTCTATGTACATACATGCCCCCCACGTCTATACTTAATGGATGCATGTCTTTTTTTTTTTTTTCCCACACCATGAGTGGATATATACATAATATACAAAATGTGCATACATATATGTACACACATACATCTTTCTTTGTATGCCTACCCTGCTGTATATATGACCACCCTTGCTCTATGGTTTGTTTGCCTCGTGTTACTGAGCTTGTTTACGCCTGTCCCTCACGACACTGTGCCTACCCACGCCTTTGTGCTGCTGCTCTCCCTAGACACAGTGCCGGGAGGCCCTGTGCCGCTCAGGGCCTGGCCCCTTTCCCCGAGCGTCGCTACAGCCGGGGCAGTAGCGCTACCCTTCCTTCAAGCCCTCAGGAAAGCAGCACTAACCCCACGGATCAGCGGAGCGCTACTGGCCCCCCCTGCCAGACAAAAACGAAGAGAAAGCAACACCAACCCGCTTCTTCCCCTCCATGGTGCAAACCAATCAACTGCTCCCATGAGTTTTGTAACAGACTGAGGTTTATTCTTCGCAGACATGTGCAAGCAACAAGATTTTTTTTTTCCTGCAAAGTCATCTCCAGAGGTGGATGAAGGGAGAGCTTTCAGAGAGCAACTGGCACACAGGTGGGAAAATAAAAAAAAAAAAAAAGAACTGCAGAAAAAAAAAAAATAACATTATTACTAAAAAAAAAAAAAAAAAAAAAAAAAAAAAGTTGGAAGAGTGTTAGAAATGTGTCTTCTCCAATGTGCCTGTGCCCATGCACCTTCAATGGCTGCCATGAGGGCAGGGAGAAGAGGAAAAGCTGGGAGCAACCGCCACCTCCCCCTGCACCTGCAGTTCAAGCAGTTCCTTGCAGAAACTTGTCCCAGTTCCGTGGTTCTTCCCTCTCGGCCGTACTTGCTACCCGCACCTGTCAGCAATCCCACCAACGCCAGCAGGTCTATCTTCAAAAGAGGAGCAGCAGCCCCAAGGGCTGCACCGAGCCCGTCCCAGGCAGCAGCCACGTGCCTCCCGCTCAGGAAGCTCCGGGCCGTCCCGGCAGCGCCAGCCGCTGCTTTTCCATCCCGGAGGTGCCGTCAACCTTGTTGACAACAAACACAGTACCGAGGATCAGGCAGATGGGAAAAGCATCATCAACAAGGAAGTTAAGTAAGCGTTAAATTTACTTCTGACTTACCTCACTTGATTATATTAGTTTACATTTGACTATATTTACACAGTAACAAAAATATGCCTATTTTGTGTTCAAACATTGTCAGCATAACATCAGTTTTAATCAAAGCAATCTGAGAGACTTGGCCAAAAGCCAGAACACCTTAAGGTTCAGCTCAGAAAACATTCAAACCACTCGCCTTATCCTCAGCAAATGTGTAAGATGAATGGCAAGAGGCGGTACACTGAACTTGTGTTTAAATCTTGGGGAAAACCAATCCCAGTTACAACCAAGCCACGTGTGTCTGTGGGCACGTGAATGTGTGCAAGGAGTGAGGGGGAGCTCCACAACCAGCCTCAGTGGTTACCGAAGTTTCACAGTCTCTCTCACTCTTCCACACTACTGCGCAGCACCTTGGTCTTCTGAAAGCTTATTAGAAAAAAAGTAAGCAAAATACAGGGTGCTTTATTTAGCAAAACGAGCCATCGTTCACCGCCTACTTGTTCAGAATTGTATTAAAAGAAGTACTGCTCTTCACAGCTCCCTGGAGGCCCAAGCACTGCACGCAAAACTAAACACGTGGTGAAGATGCCTATGGAGCGAACACAAGTTATCACAGAAGCACAGAGGTAGAAGGCTCCAAAGACCTAAACCTGAGTTGCACAGTCATTAGTTTCTACACCCCTTGTAGAGAAGCATCCTAACAGCCTTTCGTTTTCTAGCCGCCTTCCACATCTGCAGCTTTTTCAGCTGCAATGCAACAGCCACCACATTACCATTTAAATCACCTACTTGTCTTTTAAGAGATGCTCGAGTCCAGCCTTCACCTGTCCCTGCTACAGCACACATGATGCTCGGGTGTGAAAGGATGGGGCAAGCAGTGGTTTATGTCTGAAGTATTTTGGTGGCATTCTCTGCAACAACACGAGTTCTCAAAGACTTACATTGAAGAAACAGACTGAACAAAGAAGCATCAAAAGGGGGTGGGGGAAGTATGTATGGACACACACACACATGCAGCAGAAATCTTTTGCCTTCAGCTTCTAACAGTACATTTGAAGGAGAAAAACAGCAGCAAAAGCTGCCCCATTTTGACATCCATTTCTGCAGCACAAAGAGCACCTCGGGGTGGGGGAGGAAGAACACCATCAGCCCACTGCCTTTTACTACTGCTTTGCTTAGAAACTTCTGCCTTTTGTCAGGTGAGCGTGGTAACAATGCAAAATTTCACCTTATGATATGAAAGCTTGAAAGAAAAAAAGAATAGCAAGGGCCTCCACCTTGCCTAAGTATGTAGTGGTGAGAAGTCCAGAGTCAGCTATTCAAGATGACTTCACATAACCTCGGGCATCCACACAGCAAACGAGGCTTTAGAGAACTCATTCGAGAAGTTATTGTAAACACATTAATGGGCAATGACACTATAGCTTATGTACTGGGATCAGCCTGTGTACTTAGTTTAAGTTATTTAAAAATTTAAAGCTAGCTAAAGGCAAACATGCCAAGTACATCAAGTGACAAGGACCAGACACCTCATCTGAGTTTCCTTCCAAAGGAATTGCAATGCAAGTGCTCTGGCTGCAGGTAGCAGGAAGCTCTTGCTCCCACCATTAGGATCACACCCCTTGGAAGAGAGATTTCCGCCTTTTCGTTTCTTTGATGGTCATTCAGCAAATATTTGAGAATCAGCACAGACATAAAACTGGAAGTCATATACATAGTTAGAAATGGATAACCTCTCTGCATAACCACTAAGGATACTGTGGGAAAATAGTCCAGCAAACAACTGGGCTCTATCATCATAAGAAATTGCATCATCCAGAAATGGCATGAATCATACCTTAACTGTAATTTCAACTCCCCTCCCTCTCCGTCCTCCTTTCACTGCAGATCAACAGCAGCAAATACTTTCTGAAATTACACAGGAAAGCAGAAAGCTCCAAGTCAAGCCCGTCCTGACAAACCGGGTGCGTTTCCCGGTGCCTCACGCGACCTGCTCTGCCAAGCTGCCTCTGTAAAGGTTCCACCTGCAATCGTCAGCACGTCTCCAGCAGCAGCACTGCGTGTGCACCCCGAACCCGCACGGAGCGATGCCTGCACGCTGGGCTGTTTGCTTTCTGGGGGTCAGAGCGGGGCTTTTGTTTTTTTAAAGTAAGCATCAGAAGCAGAACTGAGCAGACGAGTGTAAGGGACAGGCCCTGCTGGTTTCAGGGCAGGTGAGGAGATTAGAGGCAGAGCAGCGGCGACCGATCGTGGCCCGACTCGTCCTCTGCTTCTGGGATGCGGGGCAGGAGGGCCGAGCGCGTCAGTCCCCAGAACTTCTGAGGGGACATCTCCTTCTTGGTAGCCGTGAACTTCCAGCCCATGTGGTTCCCGCAGACCCGGCACTGGGCTATAGTCCATGCGTACCTGGGCGAAGTACAACAAGACAGGGTCAGGCTGCCACACACACAAAGACATCCTGCAAATACCAGAGCACAGTTTGGTTTATCCGTGGGGATGGCAACGCCAGTCTCAAGCTGGATTTCCAGGGAACTGCAGGAGGCCAGGGGTCCAGTTCCCACCTACAAACCCTGCAGATGTCTAAGAAATTCAGCCAAGAAAACCTCCAACATTTAAAAACCTCTAAAGAAGAAAAGGAAATATTCAAGGACAAGACAAATGTCAAAAAACTGGCATCCTCTGTAAAGTTTTCAGGTGCCAGATTGTGATTTGAAATCCTAAAGCTTTCACAGATTTAAGAGATTCAAGAGAAATTCTGCAAGTTTCACCTCAGTCTTCTATTTTACTTTGTACTAACAAAAGGCCTACACTAACTTCAATTTCTTCATAGGAGCCTCTATGTTTCAAAGTGCATATATTTATTACTCTACAGTTGCAGGAATATACTTACAGCTAAATTTCTGTCATTTACCAATAGAACTTATTTTAATTGTATTACCCAGGGAACCAGCTGTGCTCTGTCGATGGTCGCCCGCTGAGATTCAGGTTGGAGGCTTTATACACGGTGAGGGTCTCGTGGATGTATCCGTGAGGATTCACGTAGGCGGCCATGGGGCCGCACAAGGACAAGCTGCAACGAACACAAACAGCATCTCTGACGGGGTCGGGGAGGAAGTTCAAGCTGAATTCAAGCAGCTTCCAACAAAAACAAGTAGAATCTGTATTCCTACTCTTAAATCAGATTTAAAATACGAGGAAAATGTGCATTTATCAGACTAATTTCGTTTATCTGCTGACATACACTATATTAATACAGCAGAAATTGTGGCTTCTGGAATCCACCTTTTAAGTAGAAGTTAAGAAACTATTTTTTAATGACTGCATCATGCCTAATTACTCTGATAAGAAAAACTGTGGGGAGTCTTGCTTTCTTAAACGAAGGCATCTTTTAACCTTCACATTGACATTAGGTAACAGACAGATTTCAGTTATTCAAGATGAAAATAGTGACAAAACTGCCAGAAATAGCAATCCTTTGGAAAACAAATCGTTCTGTCACTGGTTAAATATGAGAGGGTATTGTATACATCCAATATACCATGGCAACACACTGCTCAGAACAACTCTTAGGCTTAAATCATATAATCGTACATTAAAAGAGGGATCAGAATGCTTAATGACAAAAACAGTCAATTTCCCCATATAACAGTATTCTGGGGGCTACCCAGTCAGCACCTGTGAATCTGCTGTCAGAGCTTGCTGAGTATAGAAAGCTGGAATGCACTGTTCAGAAACATTCTTTGTGATGTTATTTCTGAATCAAATTCGTAAGAACCCACATTTTACACATAACAAACTTCTCACATTCCAAAACTCACCACAGCAGTGCTTAGTCTTCAATGTTAAGGTGGACTGGGGGACAAAACACAATCTTTCACACTAACAATTTCTACTACAATATATGTGCTTTGGGTGATGTTTGGGTTTACTAACTTTTTTATGAAAAAAAGACAAAATAAACAACCTCACTTTTATAAAGAAAATTCCATATAAATGTGTATTTAAATTTTATGAGAGCGTGGAAATTGCAATACCTCTATCCTAGCTTAATCTAGTTTGCTGTGTCAACAGTTCTGATCAAGAACCTCCCAAAGATCAAGAGCATTAAACTCACCTGAATATTTCATTCTTGGTTGTTATTTCTGTATCTTGGCATTGCTTACAACAGAGAGATGTGCACTGGGAAAGGAAAACAAAGAGGATAATTTCATTCATTTCCAGACACCTGACAGCACAGTGGCAAATAATAAAAATTTCCTTCCTTCTCTCAGAAGAGACTTTGCATCAATTCTTTTTCCAGTCTGTACAGTAGTCACTTAGATCTTCATGCTAAAGAATACTCTTTTATGTATTTATTTATGGTAAGTAGGAATTGTTCTCTAAAAGAAAAACAGTTTTTATTTACCATTACTTTTCAAGGATTCATGAAAACAAGAGGTATGGACTAAACAACCATAATAAATGATTCAGCTTAGTACGAGCTTGAAAAGCTAGTTCAGAAACTAAAAGCTGTTGGTCTTCTGAGATAAAACAAAGAAAAGACAGATGAGTACAAATGCAACCATTGTGGCTTCACAAAACTTCTAAAGTTTGGGAATACTGCAGTATATATCAATGACTTATTTCCTCAGGAAAATTAAATAACATGTATTGATCTTTCTCTTAAAGATTGTAACACACAGATTTACCTCCTACAATATCTACAAAGTATAAAAATGATCACTGACATTGCTCAGAAAATACGCATTCAAATCAGCTCGGTAGACTACTTAACTATAACTTAGGAGGTGCAATAGTTCTACCTCTTCTTAAGGAAAATGCATATGAATTTCTATCAAGAGAAGGATCCACCTCACTTTGGAAGAAAATGCTGCTTCAGGGATCTTCACTTGGAAAAACCCCTGTGTGAGCAGATTTCCTTTAAAAAATTCCAATAAATCACAGCTTGTGCTCCTGAGTCTTCCCGAGTTCTGCCTCCTACCCCATTACTGTGATGTTACACAGGTATTTGCCAGCCTTTACTCTCTCCTTCCCTCTCTTCTGCTTCTCCAGCCTGGTTACTGCATGTTGGCTTCCTCTGGCTCCTTTCCTGCAGGTTGCTCTGGTTCTGCCCACAGTTTCAGACTGTCTACGGATCTTTGAGATCAAAGGAAGAAAAAGTGCTGTGCTGTGCACAGGTGCTATTAATCATATGCCAATTTGCTTTACTCTCCTTCTTAAAGCTCAGTTGGCCTCCTTCTCCCAGCAGTGACCTTTAATGCCTACAATCGCTCTCTCACTTTAATCACCCTTATTGCAGACTGTGATCTAATGTTCACATATCCCTCTCAGAATCCAATTTAGGCAGCTACTTAATTCTATCCCTCCGCTTCCAAATCCGGTTGCTACAATTAGCACTTGCAAGCAGAATTCGCAGAAGTGTTATACCTGTGAGTGATGTGCATTCCTTTAAAAGTAAGGAATTTTAAAGGGATGCCAGAGTACCCCTTATTTGTTTTAAGAAGAATGGATTTGTCCAAATGAAACTCCCCCAAACATAATGCACTTCATGCTTACACTAAATATTTCCTTAACTATTACAACAGTTGCAAACATTTACAGAATACCACACGCTGATGCTGAAAGCACTTCTTTATCACCTCTCTACCCCACATTTCCAGAGAAAGAAAAGTTATGCACTAAACTCAACTTCAACTTAAATTTTGTAAGAGTAATTTAAGTATTCCAGTCTCTTTGAGATTTATGAAATATGTATCATGTACTGATCAACCACAGTTCTTGGAAGCACCCCAATTTTATTTTAACAGCTCTTGGAGCAGTGAAATGACAATGAAATTTAACAGGGTTACAAACATTCACGTGAAAACATCCATTTTTATGAGTTTGAAAGAGAAGCTTTTCTATCTCTCCTTTTCTCTGTACATCCTCATGTAGAGTTTTGTGCAGGAGAAAGCTTCCTCTGGGAAGAGGAGAAAGCTTCTAACAGAAAACCCCAGTGCTCATTTCCCCAGACACAGGCTTGTAGGCAAACAGGTCAAACCTCCCTGCTCTACCCCAACAAAAAAGGGCAGCACCAGCACAAGACATGACTTGGGTATCCCCAACAACCAGCAGCAACTGCCAACCAGCAAGGGCAGAGGCAGTTAGGGTTGCAGATGGTGACTCTCTGCAATATAAATACATGACCCTCTGGGACTGGGGTGAGGCAACCTTCATCTATCCATTCAAATACTACTACTGAAAATTCAATAAGGAGTAGGAATCTGAACCACTACTGGAAATGCTGCAAGATGTTACAACAAATGCTGCTCCTAGAAGAGATGCATTCAATATGAGGTTGATTGGTAATTGCATCAGGCTTACAATATGTAATATTATACTTATTTTGGAGAAATGTATCATGCGAAAATAAAGCTTTAATATTCTAAATTTAGAGCATTACATAGTCTTGGGAAGAACATTCAAGGAAGACGAGACAAATCTTAAATCACCGCAAAGAGACTTAAGAAGGCAATATATGTCTTATTAAAAATCATTTTGTCTAATATTTATTTAGATGCATACTCAATACCAAAAGATAAATCTTTGTAGAAGTGAGCTATGAAAATCGCATTTTTTCATGGCAGAATGCTACTTTCTTGTTATGTGTTACATGTTGATTTTTAAAACATTAGTGCTGGCTACATAAGACCTCTAGCACCATCTCTTGGCTAAAACAGTGCAGTAAGATAGTAAGCATAGTTTCTAATGAGCAAATATTACTGCATGTCGCTTGCTAAGCTTTCATGCTTAATAGAGTTTAGTACGAAATCTAGCTGTAACATTTTATTTCTTGGAAAAAAAGAGAAAGGAAAAAATAAAGCAATTCCCAAATTCACACTTTAAAAATAATATAGATCGGTTTTAAAGATTTTTGTTATAAAATGTTGCAGTCACTCATATTTTTCAGGAAGAACTATTCAAAGTCAACGACAGGTAAAGAAAATACTCACTTTGTTCATAATATCTAATTCACATCGGAGTCTTTGAACAGCACTACCTATTTTAAGCAACTGTATACGTAAAGCATCATCAATAGGCAGGCAGGCAGCAACTCTGTAAGAAAAATCTGGAAATGAAGGAGCACCAGGCCCGTTAGAATGCAAGACAGAAATGAAAACTACTGCTTATACTCAGTTACAGATTGAAGTTTAATACTTTTTTGGTGGTCCAGTTACTGATGCCATTTTCCCTCATGAATGGTCTCATGTCTTACCAAGGGTAATGAGAGGTAGGCACCAAGAGATTATATAAACAAAACCACTTGGACTCATTAATAGTAATAAAAATCCAGTATGCTTTTGGTTCATTTTCTTATGAATCATTTATATTACATTCATCCCTACAGAAAGCACAACAGACTTCTGCTTCTGTTTCATAAAACTCAGATGAACTACATGACTTCCAAGAGATATATCTTCCTTTTGTCAAATCTGTCCAAAACCAGACATCAAAATTTATTGGAACCTGGGAGTGAGGGATGAATTACCAAGAAAACATAAGCCCTGGGTTTTTTTTTTTGGAAACCTTTTTTTTTTTTTTAAATCCAATTTGAGTTCACAAGATAAAGAACATCATACCTATTGGGTTTGTTGGCAGAGATTCATCTTTAAGATTTTCATCCCATTCATGTAGCTGCCTCTTGACTCTTTCCATCAAGGTTTCCTTTTGTTAGAAGAAAAGCCTAATTTAAATACATAGGTATTTCTGTTTTCTTAAAAACAAAAAAAAAGGAAGCAAAACGTAGAGTAAGCTATTTGCCCTAGGTGCTTTTAAAACTTACAGTAACTACATATTTACTTCATATTCATGTAACTTAAACTATATGCAAAACCAGGTGGGAAACAGGCCAAATTCAACCAACAGCCAATTATGACAGTAGTCATAATTCTCATTTGAGAGAAGCAGATAAGTGTTCAAATGGCAAAACAGTGCAAACCAGACCAGGACTAGCCTTCTCCCTCTCTTATACCAATTGCTTTCTTTTACATACATACATACACCTATATGTATATAAACATATAGATATATATGTATCCAACTCTATAGAGAGAGTTGGAGCAAAGGATCAAAACCTCTGCTATCCACCTCCCTCTGTCCACCCCGGTGCTAGAGCACCAGGGACCACCTATACCAAGGAAGAATCTTACCTGTTCTTCTAACAGTAAACCAAAAACTATGCTCTTGTTTAAAATATAACCTGCAATCCCATTCAAGATTTCTTGTTTTGTACTAAAATAGACAAAATTAATCATAGATTACTTGGTAACGTTTAGTATGAACTTACAGCATCATATAAAGAGTAGAGCCAGGGAGGCCAAGATGTCAAACTTGCACAGTGAAACTTCCTCTAAAAACAAAGCATATTTTTTTTCTTGAATAAATAAGTAAAATAAGGAGATCAATGAGACAGATCAGGTATTTTAAGCTAACATATATGAAAAGGCATACAATGACACTTTTTAAATGGGGAACAGACCTGTTAAAAACTAAAAATATCAAAAATATGTACACAAGCTAGGAGTTCCAGAAGGTACTTCTCAGAGCTGAAAAATTACCATTGGGTAACTATGATGTTTAATCTCTCTCTCTCTCACACACACAAATAATAATATATATATATATTTATATATATAAATACTTTGAAGGTCTCATGACTATATTTTACTGAAGGGTTTTTGATCATATTTTAGTTGCATGATAAATGGTACGAGTGTAACAAAATAATTGTTAATCATTGAAGTCAGTAAGATATGTATATGTATACACACACACAAACACACACATATATATACACTTTAATAAGGAGATTAAAGTACAATATAAAGCATGCTCAAGCTGTAGTAAAGTTCAGCCTGCTTGTTAATGAACAACCTTCTGGATGAGCATATTTGACTGATATAAACACTGATTTTTACCCTTCCTAGCCTGTTTGTTTAACCGGCAACATAAATATGTGCAAACATTACAACCTCACTGGTATTAAAAACACTAATATTCCTGAATAAGCACATCCAGAAAGGAAAAAGACTCATAATTACAGTGGTACTACTCTAATTTTCCTGTTTAAACAGGTGATTACACCTTATAACTTGATTTGAAAGATAAACACGAACACTCTCTAAAAAGTAAAAATACTGTAATTAAAATCTAGTAGAATTCATGAAAAAAATGCTTATCATTTAACTGCAACGGACAAAAAAATCTCCAGAAAAAACAGGAACTTGACATCTTAACATCCCAGTTTGTTCATCCTCCTCTAAAGATGCACAGATGGAATTTCATATCGATTTTTGAAATACCATCAAATAAAAAATAAAAAACATAATTAGCTTCTGACCTTTTGATATTTCTGCCACCACTGATGTATAGTTCGATCCTTCCGTGATGCAGGTTTCGAAGAAGGAAAAATGTGGCATCGGTTGAGAGATTGCAGCTGCACTGCTGACATTGTTGAAGGCAGCACCCGTTCAGGAAGGATTTGTACCTTAGCCTGTTGAATTCTGATAAAGAGGAAGGAAAAAAAAAAAAGAGAAAAGAGAGAGATATGCACACACATACAGGAGTTTTAAAAATGGATTTTACTACTTATAAAAACGCGGGCATGTGTTAAAAGATAAAGCTGCTACATCCTGTTATGGAATTCAAACAGGAACCCATTTTATCAGATTTTACAATTGTACTACCATAAATCTAATTACCTCAGGTAACATGCAGTATAATTGTAATAAACAAAATATCTTATGCCACTGGCTAAATCCTAAAAGTCACTGTGCTGACCTGAGATGAAAGAAGGAGCATTAAAGGGTCTTCAGCCTTACTTTTCATCCTCCTTTAAAAATCAGAATGATCTATTTACCAAGTATTCTTGTACCGACATACAGGACTCTGAAAGGAATCACTAGTTTAACTTTTTCAGCAAAAGCACTGCCTTGATTAGAAACTAAATCCTACCTCCCTTATTTCCAACATTTAAAAATTCATATTTGTGAATGACAGTTGCAAACATGATGCTTAAGAGTGACCTCTCCCAGGCTATAGATGCAAGACCTTCATAACAAAATTTTTTTAATACTGAATCTCTGTACATCCACTGTTCTAGACACTGAATTCCCAAAACCAATGCCATTGCTACTGTAGTCATCCAAGCACTGCCATCTTGTGTTCAAACAATAGCTTTTCTCAACTGTAAAATTGAGAATGTTACATGCAATCAAAAGGTTAGATGGTGAAGAACAGCAAAGTAATACAGTTAGTCCTCATTTTTTTACTTGTTTTTAAAACATAAAAAAATGATAAGTTCAGACTGCTGAGCTCCTGATGACAGTAGATAATATGTATCCTTAACTGTTAAAGGTCTTGCTCCCTTTCACAAATAGAAAAAAAGACTGACCAAGACTGACAAAATTTCCCCCCCTCCTGTGTTCACATTCAACGTGAACACTATGTTCATCTTAATCATGTACAAAGGTCTTGATTTATTTTATTTGCTCCTTGCAAAGCAAAGTCCATCTAGATACCAATACACAATCTATTTTTTTTTATTCCTTCCAAATTTCTTTGCTGCCCAAGCACTAGAGAAGGGAGGGCAGCATAGCACAGAACAGCTGGAAGAAGGGAACAGGGAATTATGCAATTGCTGTGTGCTCCTCACCAGCACAGGGATGGATTACAAATGCAGTGCAGGAGAAGGAAGATGAAACAGCAGGTGAGGTTTGGATGTCTCATATTTAGAAGAGCTCCCACACTGAAGCTGGAATGCTTTTGTCTGGGGATGTTAGCACAGCCACCAGCCAGGGAGCATCCAATTCAAAAGGATCTCAGAGCTAACCGTCTTTTTCACTGCAGGCATAGCTACCTTTGATAACCTGAACAACATTTAGCATGTGCTCCTTTCAGCTTCTGTTTCAGTTTAGGTTCTCTCTCAGCTTCAAAAAACAGCTAAGAAAAAATAGAAAAGTTTTCTTAAAAAAGAAAAAAAGAGAGAGAAGTTTCACAAAGAAAAATAATTTAGAAGTTACTTCTTTCTTTGCTATTATTACCAGTCTCCAGTTCTCCACTTTTCTAATGCTTCCTGTGAAAAGCACCACCCGCCTCTGGGGCCCTGTTACATCCTTTCTGCACTTGAACCATGCAGCTGAATCCTCTACATACTGCTGAGGCTCAGGAGATAAAGATCTCACAAAGTACAAAAAAGGAAAGGCTTATTTTTCACAGTTTCAGTGTTGTCCCCTTGCCTGCAGCAGTTCAGAGCTGCAGGTGCACATAAAGTCAGGCTCAGCTGAAGCTGTACAGGCCCAGTGCAGACCATCTCTGGAAAGAAATGCGGATTACAGTTTTTCAGAGGCACGGAATCTGGCTTTTCCCAAAGGCAGCTGAAGGCATACACTTAATAAAGGAGCCCCCTCTCATTCCACATCAAGATTGAAACTGGGATGTGAGAGAATGAAAGAAAACATTGGAATTTTTGACACAAATCAGTGACTTTCTCCTGTCTTATCCAGAAACAAATTAATTCTGACAAACGTGTTCTCACACATATCAGATCACACCATTTGAAGACATTCTTTAGAAAGTTTTAGAGAAAAGTTACTAACAACTAAAATATGAGTCTCAGAATAGCAAATGTCAGAAATCTTAATAACCAAAGGAGTTGCTGGTCGTCTGCATAATTAGTATCTATACCAATTAACCATTCGTACAACTGAAAGGGTAGATTCACAAGCGGTAAAATGTAAATGCCTTGGTGAAAAAAACAACAGACAATCTTCAGAAGGATGTTAAGCATTAGACATTTTAGCAGTCTACTATGCAAAGTGCTAATACGACAGGATTTGCAACATGCAACATTAAATTATTTTCTTACCCATCTGACTGGGGTCTGATTTCAAGCACCTTGAACCTTTGTCTCCCTATTGCTTTCACTTTAACAGTTTCAATTCCAAATTCCTGCTCTTCTCGGTATGCATATATTTCTGCTGTTGTTCCAAAATGTGCTTCCCTCTCACGTGCATTACTAAAAGCAACAGAATAAAAAAAAAAAAAAAAAAGGTTACCTGTGCTCCAAATAACACTGTCCATTCAGATTTCACTAGTTTTTCTCCCTACACTGATTGTCTGTTTAATCAATTTGAAAAAGCAAACTGGGTCAAATACCTTCAAACTGACTTCAACTGTTATTCCTCCTGTTTACAAATAAGTTCTATTTTGTTGATGATGAATATTTGGTTATTTTAGCATGTAGAGGTTAGATTCTGGAAACATAGGGATCAAAACTGCATTTGAAATGCAGACACTGAAAGCACTAGAACTGACTTTCTAAAAACAGCTGCTCCCATCTCCCACATAATTAAATTGTAGCAAACTGGGGTAGAGCAGAGGAAGATTCCCAGCCTCTTTTGGCACAGATTACCCTTTATCTTCTCTGCAGTTTTATCAACTCATTTCCCTCAACTCTAATGTTAAACATTTACCTATGCTTGTTAATTTATACACAAAACAAGTATATATCTTTATGACAATGAAGGTCCCACAGCAAGAATCTCATTTTTTTGTATTTCAAGTTGAGGCTTTTTCTTAAAGTAAGGTACAGAAGTGCACTCAAACAGTTACTGAAATCAAGAGAATATATGAACAAGGAAAGCAAGTCAACACTTACTGTTTCTCTACACAAAAGGAATGTTTTTCTGATGCTGTCAGGCAGCTACACAGCATCCTTTTCACTGCAAGTTGGAAGTTTGTCTAACGGTTTTAAACCTCAACTTTTGTTATACATCACAAAATAGATGCAATTATCTGCTTTAGATCTAGCGCCCAGAGAAATCAGCACTAAAAATACATGTTCCATACCATCAGTAAATCCACTCGTGTATTTTACCTGTATGCAAGAACAGCAAATGTTCTGTCTTTCTGAATTAAATTCCGCACCATGCTAACCTCTTGAGGGTGAAAAAGCTGAAGAGGCAACGTCTGTCCAGGAATCAACATCACCATCACGTGAGGCAGCACTGGAATCACCTGACAGCTGTCATCATCGTGCACTGTTCTCCCATGAAATTCTTCCATATCAGAACCTAAATACTGAAAACAAAAATTAAAGAAATAACACTTGTATAGGAGGCTTTTGTTTTATAAAAATGAAATAAAACTAAGTCATTGTTTTAAGGATTTTACAATAGAATTGTACAAAAACAATCATAAGAGGTCAATGATTCGAAAAAGTGAACCTGGTACACTGAATATTTGTGTGCAGTGCCATCTTCAGAACATTAGGCACTCACTATCACATGTAACCTGCTTATGCCAGACCACAGGACATGCTCCACGGAAGCCTCTTTTTGGACTCCAGCTAAATCAGCATCTTGACTAACACAAAACACTGCTTATTTCTACCCCAGTGTCTATGGGACAAGTTAGAGCAGCAAAGCCCTCAGCTCTTCTACCCCTGAAACATCCAGGAGGGATCATGTGCATCAGTACAGAAGTGGACAGAAACTTCTGGACTGAACAATTCAAAGATACCCCTCTGAATGGCTCTCAGCAAAAATCCCTTGTCCACTACAAATGAGCAATAGAGAGCAACAAGCAGAATACATACAGATTATTACATTTTTAGCAAGATTTACTTACCAACCCGAGAATCAGCAGGCATACTATTGCATTTATTCAGCAGCTTTATCGAAATCAAAGGGTGTATGTGTATATATCACTCAATCAAAACCTCTCCAAAACATTTTTAGTGGAATATATATAGAAAAAGAACATACCACATGAGAGGTTGGCAAGCTGGTGTCAAAATTAATGATATTTGGTTTTTCAGCTTTACTATCTTGATCTTCAACTTCCATTTCATTGTCATCCTCTTCCTCGCTCTCTGCTGAAAAGCACATACAAAATATTATGTAGAAATCAATAAGCAAAGATTAAGACAATTGAGCAAAGCTCTGTGTTCACACAGCCTCTTGCTTGCATTTCTAGACAATGTTAACCCTGTTGTTAAGGAAGCCATATGACTCTGCAAAGGACTTCAGATAAAAAAATAATACTTAAAAATACCGCTTTCTTCTCATTTCTCAATTCTAGGTGCTATTCTTAAAAAAAAAAAAAAAAGCTTTTAGATAAGATGATAATTTTATTCTGGAAACACATAAGCAGTGCATTCATCTGTATGAAATCCATTTCAATAAATTATAGAAAGCACTAAACAGCTACCCTGATTATTGGAAAAAAAAGATCAAATTTCATATGGCAGTACTTATTTAAACATAAATAAAAAACTAAGAAAATCAAAGGAATTTATCTGTCTAAAATATTGGCTTCACTGACCATTCTAGATCTAGATCTACTTAAAATATGCAATAATTACATTGTTTTGAGTATGCATTTACATTATAAATTGCACTACTTGATCCTATTACTTTAAATCAGTAACACAGTCACCATTTACCCATCACGTCCAGAATGGATGTTATTATAAACCTTCCAAATCAAAACTGGTGCCTTCTTATACCAAGTAAGGGACAACCACAATGGTGCTGAAAACCATAATTTAGAACTTGAAAACGAAGGCCAGAAACCATCTTCACGATGGTCTATTTAGCTGCCTGCCTCTATAATTAACGATTTTTTTAATGCACAATCTGGCTCTGAAAACTGCAGAGTAGAGTCGCTGCCTTGCAACAGAAGGACACTGCCCAAGCAGCCCTGCTTCAGAAACAGGAGGCTCTCCAACCCTTCTTAATCAATAAGTGATTTGGGGGAGTGGGAGGATGAGAGAACAATGAGGAAAACATTACCCGCGGCTTTGGGAAAACCTCCCATCTCCCTCCGTGTTCATCAGGCACTGCTGCCCTTCACAAAAGCCTCAGCTGATATATTAGTTTTACCTGTTCTTTTTAAAGCATTTCCTAGCTTACAGAACCTTCTCTGCTGCAGGAACAGAGCCCCATTGATCTTACAAGTCCACCCTAAACCACTTACTTCTCAACAAGAAATAACTCAATATGAGAAGGGGAAAAAAGAGTTTGGAGACTGTTTGGTGCCCTACCTAATTACATAACTTAAAGCACCAAGGCATGGCCTTCCATGCCATTATAGAAAATACTCCTTTTCTTCGTAATGTTTTTCTCCTGCAAAGTGTTTAATATGTAAAATACACGCAGCAGTTTCCATGGGTTGGAGTGACAGGGGGACGGGTGAGAGAAGGAAGTTTTCATGTGGGTCCAAAGCAGAAGGGAAACACAAGAGGGCCCAGCCAGCAGCAGCAGCAGCACTAACACCCTGCTGCTGCTGCACCCGGGGCTCGCGGGCCGTGGCCCCGGGCTCGCGGCCCCTCCAGCCGCCCCGGGGCTCGCGGGCCGTGGCCCCGGGCTCGCGGCCCCTCCAGCCGCCCCGGGCTCGCGGGCCGTGGCCCCGGGCTCGCGGCCCCTCCAGCCGCCCCGCGAGGCCCTTCCCGCCGCGCGGCGCGGCCGCGACTCCCCGCGCTGCAGGTGCAGCGAGCGGACCGCACCGCCGCGAGGCGGCCACGCCACCGGCGCCCTCCCGGCACCGCCGCGAGCGCCTGCGGCTTCTCCTTCCCGCCTCATTATTGTGTTTTTAGTTATTATTTTTGATTGCGGGCCGGCGCGGCCTGGCGGCGCGCGGCGCCCGCCCGGCTCCTCCACCCCTTCAGAGGAAGCCGCCCGGCTGCCGCGTGACCTGCAGGATCTTTATATTCCCTTCCCCGCGGCACTCTCTTGACCCCGAAACTACGCGTTTTTCCCCAGGTTCCCGGAGCAGGGGAGCAGCGGCCGCTAGAGCCGCGAGCGCGCGGCGGCGGCGGCGGCAGGGGCCGGCTCGTGGCGGCAGGGGCCGGCTCGTGGCGGCGGGAACCGGCGCGCCCGCCGCTCCGTTCCGCGCCGCGGCCGCCCTTACCGGGCACGAGCTGCAGGTGGTTGCCCATGTCGTCGCGGGGCTCGCCGCCTCCCTCCTCGGCGGCCATCGCTGTTTACCCGCGGAGCAGCCTGGGAAGGCGGGCGGAGCGAGCGCGGGGCGGGGCCCGAGCAGCCGCAGCGGCCTCCAGCGGCGCCGCTCAGGATGACGCCGGTTCGAGCCCCGCGGCCGCCTCAGCAAGGCCGCCGGTTCGAGGCCCGCCTGAGCACATCTACCTCTGTATCCGAAGGGGTATTTACCGAAGGGGTATAATTTTTTTTAGAGACTTTATTTGTTAATATTTTTTATTTTATTCTTTTTTTTTAAACTGATTTCAAGAAGAAAAAGCACAAGCTTATCAAATTTAGTAATTGGCCACTCATTTTGGCAAGGATTTATTGTTTTGGGCCTGTCCTCAGATCTCTCTCTAGGATTTATTGTTTTGGGCCTGTCCTCAGATCTCTCTCTAGGACAGGCTTCACTTTTTTTTTTTCTTTTTTTTTTTTCTCTTTTTTTTTTCTTTTTTTTTCTTTTTTCCTTTTTAGCACCTCTTTATGATACAGATACTCAGGGATGGCTGTGGCTCATTTTGCACATCTTTTTAGGAGTGCTGTTCTTACAGCACAGGGACCCCTGTTTCTGCTCGCAGAAGGAAAAAGTGTGGGAAACTCTACAAAGAGGACAAAAGCAGAGACAGCAAGAGCAAGCGCAGCTTCACTGGCATGCAATGTGCCTGAGCCATCACACCCAGTGCCAGTGCATCCCCCTGCCACCTCCTTACTCGAAATAAGAGGAAAATTGAATTAATTTCTGGCATGCCGGGCTCAGTGGCACTAGGTGGTGCTCAGCATACACTTGTTCGCCTTTCCCTTCCTCCCAGGAGCCAGCTGAGTCACAGGCAGCGCTTGGCCAGCTCTATTTTTAGGGGATTCAGAGCAAAGAATGGAAAAGTTTGATCTTTGACCTATTCCTTTTAAATGCGGCCTTTCTGTGTGTTTCTACAGCATGCTGTGTGCAACTACAGCAACTACTTATGTTTAAAAGTTGTCTTTGTAGTCTAGTTCTAACAGCAAAAGTCACATGTATGCATGACATTCATTTCTACTCTACCAATAAATTAGCTCAGCTAAATCTATATCTATGTCTAAATTAGACAGCTAAATCTATGAAGACTAGGCAGAACAAAACACTATGCCCAGTATTAGAAAATAAAAAGTGTCTCTTGACCTTTAGATGATGTACTACCTTCTGGGAGAAAGAGAAAAAAAAAAAGAAGAAGAAGAAAAAAAACAGTTGCAAGACAATAACAGATTCTACAGTTTTCATCTGGAAAAAGGCAGGGGGGAAAAATACATGACAAAAGCTTCATGTGCCTCTACATCTCCACATCCTCAACCAGGCTATCCCAGCAGTGCCCAAAGCAGGTCCAATTGCCCAAAGGATTTCTTGGGGACAGGGTCGCCCTGTTGATATTGAGCAGTCCACAGATGCTGAGCCTGGCTACCAAACTAGTCATCCCCAAGCTGTCCGTGTCTGCAAGGGCGATATCCTTCTAAACCCAAGAAAGCAGCCATAGACAGGGAAACTATTTCAGAAAAAAAGGGAGCTGCTGTAAAATCTAATAGCAGCAGATGACTCGTCTATTTTGAAGTGGCTAAAGCTTGTTTCAGCTGGATTGCTGGGAGGAATGGGGCACACGTACAACTCTCCTTTAATTCTCATTGCCTCAGCAGATGACAAGGGCAGGCCAGTGTGACAAATGAGTGGCTCCTGAAAATGCTGGTGGCTTTTGGACTGGTGGCTATTAAACACAGAGGCCCATTACTGCGCTGCAAAGCAAATTCTCTTGCCAGCTCCTGCCAAGCAAGCAGCTCGTTGACGTGTGTGCACAACCCATATTCAACAGAAGTGGCAGAGGGCATGGGATAGAAAGAAAATGTGACTACAAACAGGAATATGGTTCCTAAAAAAAAAAAAAAAAAGAGAGAAAAGAAAGTGAGGAAAACTGCTGTGGGAAATGCAAGCTGGATGAGTGTACCGACTCAAAAAGACCTCGTGTCCTTTAGGTAACTGAGTGCTGCCCCTGTGCAAACCTGGGGCTTCCTGATGGCTCTGAGAAACGTGCTTGTTTGGAGAAAAGCGGCCAAGCGCTGTCCCTGTGTGACTGCTGCGCTTGCAAACAGAGTTGGGAATCAGTGGTGCGAGCCGGCAGGTTCACTGGTCCTGGTGAAGGTTAAGGATGGTCCCGCACGTCAGCTCCTGAGGTGCTGCCACCAGCCTCCACAGTCTGTCCCTAGAGCTACCACATCAAATTGTCTCCTTGGTTAAGGGCAGATGTGCACTGATTGCAAAAGGATACAGATGTTTTCAAACTATTTCAGGTCCTTTACAGAGATAATTACTTGTAAATAGTAAGATTATTAACAGTTTAATATTACTATCTATAAAGCATGAAAAATTCATCCCAGTATAAGCTCTGATATGGAAGTCCATTTTAGTCCAATTTCCTTCCATGGCTCAGTACTTGAGCAGATCCTCAGCAATGCATTATATCGTGTTGGCCATTCGCACAGCAGTCAATCATCTCCCGTGTTTCAAACCACCTTAAACTCTGAATTTTAAAACTCTAATACCCACACAGAATTTGTCATTGATTTCATAGGGACTTACTGGTTCACCACATTCAAGGCCTTGGAGTGGTTCACTTACCTTTTGCCCACAGACAACTTTGTCCAATGCAGATGTACACACAATGTCAAATGCAGACATATACACAATTTTCTGATGGCCTAGAAAATTACAGTGGAATAGAAAATCACAGTTATTCTCTAAAAAGTATCAAAGTGCCTTTACCCACTCCTTATTCTGGAAAGCCCAGCCAAAGCCCAGGAGGTGAGAGACTCCAAAGCTTCCTTTTGCATTTATCTCGCAGCAAGGTGAAAGTTCCTTCCCCTGAAACATCCCCCGGAGCCCTTGCAGCGGGAAGGCATGTGGGGCAGAACACAGCACTGAGCTCAAAGGCCCTTTGGAAAGACAGAGAGCAGACTGCACAGATGAGGCACTGTGGACAGTCAGCTAAAGGTGACATTTGCCTTATTTGCTGTGTGTTTTTTTTTCTTTTTTTTTCCCTAGATAAGCAGTGATTAAATCAAAAAGAGGCCTTATTGATTAATAATCAATAACTTGATTATTAAGTTCTGATAAGCAGATGGAAAAAAAAGAGTAGCCAGATTATAAAGTGCAAAATGGAATAATTCTCTCTGAATGTCCTGTTTTTCAGGAGCCGAAGGATTCAGCTCAACCCAGCCCCAAGAGCTGCCGGAGTGAGGATCAGATTCCTGACAGAGCAGCCTTCCCCTCTGCCTCTCAGGCAGGTTTGCCCTTCCTCAGAGCAAGCTACTTTTTGCAAAAGTAACAGACTGATAAGACAGCATTTCAACACCGTCAACTAGGATTCGGAAAGCTGATGATAATTCACAGGTTTCCAGTTGGAAAGGTCTCCCTGCTTCATAGGAGGGCTGTGATGGACAAGGCAGGTGGCCAGACACTGCTCCGGGTAAGGTTTTAAAAGCACTCAGTGCTTCACAAAACACCCTGTTTTATGACGCAGCTCGGTGCAGCTTTGAGGATATTTTTAATGAAGAGCCCTTTGCATGCAGGGACCTGGCTGTGGCTGCCTAGGACCCTTCCAAAACGGGCAGCTCGGTACGAAATGCCTTTGTTGATCAAAAGTTATCTGGAGCTGCTGCAGGATTCTTGGTCCCCGAGCCCATCAGCACAAACACAGGGACTGGAAACAAGACTAAAAGTCCAGCCCAGCCTTATTCAAAACTAGGCAAAATAGTGTGTTTCTGCATTCCATAATCAGCTAAATTCATTCTTCTTTCAAAGCTCACATAAAAGTTAACTAATCACTGTATGTAAATAAACCCTGCAGTTAACTAGTTCAAATAAGAAGAGAAAAAAAGCTACGTTAAACAGACCCAACGGTGGTTATCCCTGATGCATTGTGTGCAATGCATTTACAGCAAAGACTCTGGATTTCACAGCCATTAGATGGATTAGATGGAAACATTTATGATTCTGTTAATTACAAAAGAACTAAAGGATGCCATTCAATAGACGCATTAATTTAAATTATTATAATGCTCTGACACATGTTCTGCTGCAAACAGAGGAAGCTGCAAGGCAAATCCTCCTTTGCAACAGCAACTTGGTCCCATTTAACAACTTAGCCGATAGCCTGAAGAAGCCTGTTCTTGCCACAACTGCAGGAAGCATCACATCCTCACACAATATACCCAAAATCTTGCATAAAGACTATAAAAGAAGCAGAGAAAGTGTTATTTTCCAGGAATGCATTAGGACATCATTTGCTGGTGAGAGAAGCAGCAGGTACAGCCTAATATACCTGTGCTATGGGATTTTTTTTCCTTTATGAGAAAGGACCAGACAATCACAGCTTAAAAGATATAGATATATCTGCAATATTTTTGTTGTTGTGGCCAGACTTATTGAAACTCTGAGCTGCAGTCAATCAAATAACTGGCCTGGAGGATTGCAAAAACAGGGAGATAGGAAGCTCACCTTGTTTACAGATAAAGTGCTAGATGTGCAGACACAAGCACTTTATATCCTCAGAATTTTTGTATGAATTCCTGCTTGAGAAATATGGATGAAAACCAACAATTTGCAGCCAAAAATTAGCAAGAAACAGACAAAAGTGCATTCAGAAACACTGCCCTACTGTTGCAAAGGCTCTGAAGTTTAATTTGCCATATTCCCAAACTGCCTGAATAAAAAGGAATAAAAAGACTGTATTTTATTTTTTAAAGAATCAAAGGCAAATAATTTAACTTTGTTGATGGTATAAATTATCCAGTAACTGCAGGCATACAGGTTCAGGACTGAATGATGTTAAATAAATTTATGCAATCTCAGGGATTATTCCTAGGGATTTTGTGATCTCCAGGACCAGTTTGGCACCCCAGTGCCAGGGGCCCTCCAGCCCGCTTGCCCAGGGCCACTGGACCTGCACTCGGCGCTCGCAACGTAATTACTGTAATGATT